TACCTTATCGACTCGGATGTTGTGCAGAGCAAGGCATACATAGTCCTTCTTCGGGCCCATGAGGCTGCTATTCTTGCGGTGAGGCCAGGGAAAAAAGCCCTTGTGGTCTACGAGGCTGCTCTCTCTGTGGTGAAAACCGATGCCCCCGATTTTCTACCTAACCTGACAAAATCTGTCGGGACAGGCATCGGTCTTGAGTTTCGTGAGTCTGGGCTGAGTCTTGATGCAGAAAATGAGAAAGTGCTGAAAGCGGGGATGGCCCTTAATATTTCGATTGGTTTTCAGAATCTACAGGCAAAGACGAAGAAAGGCCCGAAAGCCCAGAATTTCTCGATGCTGCTCGCCGATATAGTTCTCGTGAAGGACGGCGAATGTGATGTTGTCATGTCAGCCAACTCGAAATTGTTTAAGGACGTCGCGTACTCCTTTAATGAAGAGGACGAGGTAGATGGGCCGCTGAGAAAGAAACCAAAGTCTGATAGCAATGTTGAAGAAAAAGAATTCGTGTCCTCCAAAGCAACCCTCAGATCCGACAATGGTGAGCTGTCCAAGGAGGAGCTCCGGAAATAGCACCAGGCAAAACTTGCCTGCCAGAAAAACTAGGAGACTGCTCGGCGCCTTATCGGAGTTGAGTCGGGCAACGTGAACGGGCGGGCCTCGGCTCGAATTGCATACATGAGCGTGAATGAGATCCCGCTTATGCTTATCCGAGATATGATGATGATCCAGGTCGACCAGAAAAATGAGTCCATCCTGATTCCCATCTATGGCTGCATGGTCCCTTTCCACGTGTTCACTGTGAAAACCGCCACAAGCCAGCAAGACACGAACTGGAGCTGTTACGTGCGTATCATATTTAATCTGCCCGGACCCACCCATCAGAGTGTCGTTTACCTGAAGGAGGTATCTTCCGATCCAAGGACTCGAGGCACATAAACGAGGTGGTTAAGCTGATAAAGACTCTCAGGCGCGACGTGATGGCTCGGGAGACCGAGGAACACAAATTTTTAGGATCTAGAGTGAATGTTGAATTGCAAAAAAGTTAATCATTAAATCGAATGAGTTTTTAGACTAACTAAGCATTTCATTTGGTTAGAATTTCGAAAAATGACAACAAATGGCCTACAATAGTTCTGATTCTTTCCTTCCAAAAATAGAAACCATGGAAAAAAAAAACAAATTATTATATTGACATAACTGATAATAGGATTATAGCATTGTAGAATGAAAAAGTATTTCTTGCTAATAACTTCATTCTCACCACGAAGGGAAAAAAAAAAAACCAACAACAAACAATAAAGATGACATTACATATATTATCAATGTCCAAAACATACAATATAATAATCTCTAACAAACTTTTAAGCTTTGTACTTCAATTACATACCACAAGAAGGATCAATTCTGCACTTACAAAAAAGTTAAGAACGAAACCAATTCACCAGATTGAAGATAAAAATATCCTATTAGAAATGCATCAAAAAATAATAAAGATGACATATATCCATGTGAGTAAGACTTGGCCAAAACATAAAGACAACTATCACCATTTCTCATCCAAGTATTTTCATAACATCTGTAATAAGAAATTATATTTTGGGACTAAATACCTGATATGCTGACATAAGTCACTCACAGGAATAAGCACTTCTGCAACACTTACATTATAATCTGGGTCAAGACAACCTGAAAATGCCAAAAAAAGAAAAAAAAAACACTAATAGTAGTAACGTTCTCTGAATAGATGTTATCGATACACACTTGACAAGAAGTTCTAGCTTTTTAGGTCGTTTAAGAATAATTCTATGTAGACATCCTTATAAACTCCAATACAACAATAAAAATGCTACCTTTCTTCTACCTTCATCTTTTTAGGAATCTCAAGCATATAACTAACAAATGCAGGCAAAAAAAAATTAAATTGTAGAAAGAACCACAAATTAAGTCTTGCTAGGATATATGAAATCCAACTAACTTTACACCTAGACACAAAGAAGTAAATGAAATATTCCATACTATATCCGAAGACATGCTTCAACTCTCCACGGCTCCAAAGTATGACCCTCAAGAATCGATTGATCTTAATACATCACCATTTCACGGGAAAATAAGCATTATTCTCTCTACAAACTCCAAGTCTACACAAATGCTTGGTTTGCATCAATGCTTCTCTCATTTCCTCCCCAACAATAACTGCATTCTCATGTCTCCTCTGAACCGCCACACTTCCAACTAAAACAACCAACAACAACAATCTCATTCTGTATGGTGGAAACAAGAAAAGTAAAATATAGAAAAACAGTACTAACCAAGTTAATCCAACTTTGGGATCTTATTGAAACAATACATGAAAGAGTAAATAAATGAACACAAGGATGAAAAATTGAGTCAAAGAAAAACCATGGCGTAACGTCGCTGCCAATCCACCTTTACCGAAAAACCATGGCGTAACGTCGCTGCCAATCCACCTTTACCGAACATCAACCACCCATCAACAAGGTTTCATGTGTACCAAACATGAAACAAATCAATTTATATTCATATTGCCACACACATACGTAAACAAGATTGGAATGTATATCAATGTATAAATTAAAGGGAAACCAAATAAACCCACCCAAATCTTTTTGAGTTGTTCCAGAAATCTCTTTGCTTTCTCAAATCCCTACTATTGAAATTGATAAAGGAGTCAATGCCAAGTTTACATGAAAGGCACAAAAGAAAGCTATAAACAAAAATAGAAAAACAACAAATGAACATGAAAAAGAAGAAAAATAGAACTATCATAACTTAATTCAACATTCGTATGCACGATACCTACATAAGCTGCTGGACAAACTCGTGCTTGAAATTCCATGGTTAACATTGTCCTCACAAACTTGGCTATGTCCCTCTTCACAAAGCTCTGGCTTTTCACCTCACGTGAGGTTTAGCCGTCCAGCGACAGGTCCTCGACCAAAGTAAACGTAATTCCCATCGAATAAAAGTTGTTGGAGGTGTGAAGCGACCTCCGCTCTTTGAAAGAAGGAACTGTAGAAAGAGTTGAAAATTAAGGAGAAAGAGACCAAGCCATAAATCAATGGTTTTTAATTAGGTTTGTGATCTTACAGTTTTTGAACAACCATGACCACAGGCTCAATAGACTTCATACCAACTCCTGCCACATCACGCCCATCATTGCCACACCAACGCCGCTCTTAGGTCTAGGGCAACAAAAAAAAAAAAGGACAGAACTACCCGAATCAACTGGGAAAACAAGCGTAGATCTAAAAAGTTAGGAAAACAAGCGGGATCATGACTTAAAGGAGAAGACCCTCCTCTGCAGGGACGCTGTCATTCTAGTCCACGACTGCCTAAACTATGTCCTAAGATACCGACTGGGGCTCCGTTGTCCTCTCCATATTCAACGCCGATAGCAAGGAGTCTCAACGGAAGATCGAGGATGATTTCAACACCTTCACCTCCACCAAGGAGACGAATATGGCTTAGCCACTCGTGGAACACGGATCCCTTTTAAAAGCCACATCGTGCACTTTATGATTTTACAAATGCGAATGCGAGAGAAGATGAAACTTCGAGAGAAAGTAGTGCAGTTTTACAATAAAAAAATGTCTGTTTTTTTTTCTGATAATAACAAAATTATTTTATTTTTTAAAAAGGTATATTATATTTGATAAATGTATTTTTGTATAGTTACACTCGTGTATATTATATAATAAAATAGTGAATCGTGTATTCATATACATATTAAATTATAGGAATATACCATTACATTAATCCGTATAAGCATATGTGGACGAATATACTTTATTTTTATATTATAATTCAATTTATGAATAATTATATAATATATATGATATTCAAAAATAAAATAATATTTTAAATTATTTAAAAAAATGCATTTTTTAATTTTATTTTTATATAAGTATTATATTTAATTAAAATATGAACTAATTAAAATATGAACAATAAATAAATAAATAAAAATTATTAAAGTGTTTCTCGTTTATAAGAGTTTCTCGATGGCCCAAATTCAAACTACTATACTATCGCGTCTTTTTTCCCTCACTTTTCACTTCACAGATACCACGCCGTTAGTCGGAGATTCTGCCGCTTGATCTCCATCGCCGATTTTTTTTTACTTATTTGTTTTCTCCTTTTTTTTTCTTCTTCTTGAGCAAACCTAACCCTAATTTTCAATTTGCGCCGCGAAGAAGCTGAGGTCGGTGGTTTTCATAAAGCCATATTTAGCATCGAGGAGGATTTCTTATTCAATTGATTGTCAGTTTTTTGCCGATACCTTCTTCGATTAGAACGTTTTTGTCCAAGGTAATGAATGAAGATTTTATTTTTATTGATAACCTGAATCTTAATTTCGTCTTCATTTCGTTTGGCTTTTTTTTCGAATTTTTGTATTATGTGTTTTGCTTTTATGATTAGCCATTGGTGATGGAACCCTAATTTTTACTGAACGTCTTCGATTAAAACCTTTTTTTGTCTAAGGTAAAGAAGGAAGATTTTGATTGATCCACTGAATCTAAAATTTTGTTATTTTTTTTTTTTTTTTTTTTTTTTTTTTTTTTTTGTAGTCTGTGTTATTGCTTTCCTGGTTATGTAGCTATTGGTTTAAGTTGATGGAACCCTAATTTTTACTGAACGTTGAATTTGAAGAAGTTAACTGCAGATGTTTGGAAAATTCGATATATTATGTTTCTGGGCATGAATGTATCCCTTTAAATACCTTTTTTTGTATGTCTGTGATGCCTTGAAATTGTTTTTGGCATATCCAAGGAAGTTCTATTTGTTTGATCTGAAACATAAGGCAATGGAACAATGATATGCGAGGAAAATAATATGTTGATTGCAATTTGTTAACTGAGTTTATATCTTACATTTATTATGCAGAACGAGTAATAACTATGTTGCTGATTCTATTTTCATTCTCTATTTCGCCTGTTCATATAACTAATGACTCGATTAAACAACCCAAAACAGGTGCAATGGCTGAAAAATGCAAGTCAAATCGCAGTGCGTATACCATTGACTTGAATACCTTCACCAAGAGGCTGCAGACTCTCTATGCAAACTGGCGCCAGCACAAAAACGTGTTATGGGGTTCGTCAAATTACCTTGTTATGGCCACATCGCCTTCTTCTGAAGATTTACGCTACTTGAAATCCTCTTCCCTCAACATATGGTTGCTCGGTTATGTGTTCCCCGAGACAATCATGGTTTTTGGGGACAAGCAAATCCATTTTCTGTGCAGCCAAAAGAAAGCGTCTTTGCTAGAGGCCATTAAAGAACCAGCTAAAGAATCATTGTCTTTGGATGTTGTCATGCATGTGAAGGCGAAAAACGAAAATGGGATCAATTCGATAGATTCTGTAACACCCCACTTTGATTTTACAGAAATCCGGACTTCCAAAAATCAGTACAAAGTTTTCGAGATCATTTTCGAAATTCAATGGGTGGTAAACAACATTTTCATAACCCAAGTCTTATCTGGGTCCAACGGGGATTCATTACCTGGTTTTCACAAATGGTTTTCATTAACCAAAACATATCACGAGACATAATTCTCAACATGAATATTCAAACCAAACATCATACCCAACATCAGGGTTCCACAAGTTTTCCCAAAAACAAAACAATCATACGTTTTGGAAAAGGTTTAAGCAAGTCTCAACATAAAGGTCCAATAAAGCCTTATTTATTCTACGGAAGCATAATATGCATAATTAAATGACCGAGCCATTCGCCTCTCCTCGTCACCCTGCACCTGCTTAACCTGCATCCGTGAAGAGCAGGTGGGGATAAGCACAAGATGAAAATGCGTGCTCACCACTATGCACGTATATCACAAGTAATAAATAATGTAAAGGAGGTATGGTTGCAGCATGGACATAAATCAATTATTTTGTCACGTCTCCTAATCACATCACAACATATTACCCACGTGTACACATCTTTCATTAGCCACGGAAAGGGGATTCATTACCCTAACTCATGGGGGCAGGTGCCATACAACAAGACACGGCCTTTCATTATCTCTTACGGAGACTTACCTCGCAAGGGTAACCGTATTACATCGACGGGGACAACCGTACCGACGGCCGAATCGGCTCACGCCAATAGGCTACATGATTTACATGCATACTTAAATCATACCAACCCAACATTAAAGTAAATACATACTGCATAGCAAATTTTATAAGTAAACCCACCTGGAAATTGCGGTAGAATATCACACAAAAGCAATTACGTAGGTCGAAGGCTCGACTCCTCAAATACCTACATTTAAGCGAGATATTTTATCAATAACCTATCTCACTTCATCAAATTTAATATAAAACCCACTCTTAATAAAAATTATAATTTTAATAGGATTTTTCGTGGACTTGAAACTCTCTCATTTTTGAAAAATGGGACTCGGAGGATTAAATTTGGAGTCTCGGGACTTAAAATAATTTTTCTCAAATTTTTTCTCATTTGAAAATAATTTTGTAAATTGAAAACGGTACGAAAAACAGACTATAGAACACACAAAAAAAAAAAA